TAAATGCTGGCAAGTAAGTCTGACAAAGGGAGTAAGCTATGAAGTCTAGAGTAGAGGGTAAGTCTATGAGATATTCTGTCAGCAGGTAAAAGGACAAAATAAGAATATGGTAAGAAAAATAAGTTTAAAAAGGTAAGAAGATAATCTCTGGTATACTTTTACAGTGTTGAGAATATACATATGAAAACATATCTAAGCTTATATAATACATAATCAAAAACTGAATTAGTAAGTTAGAGTCATATCCTCAGTATACAAAAAGAGGAAAAAAGATGGAGATGCATTTAGTTTGAGTTTAGTAGGTTTATTTATTAACAGATGATTCACTGTCACTACCCTGTCTAGGTTGCTGCTGTCCTAGGTGTAGTGGTGGCTCCCAGGAAAACTCCTACTACCGTGATACAACTCCGCATTAATCTGATATGAAAGTGCAGGGCTGAAGAGCATATTACAAATTATATATTATGTCAACAACAGAAATAAATAATGTAGAACAAACAAGATTTGAAATTTAAAATGGATGGAGCTAAAAGCTAGTCTGTAGCAAATTTGAATTCTTTCAAATCCTATAGCTCCCAAGAAACTTGATACAAGTTTTCCAAATTTTGACAACAAATATAAAAGCTCATATGACATCTAACAATGATAGATGATTGACAGGTGGCAAAGAGAAATAGGAAGAGAAGAAATAAGACTGGCTGGACCAGGGAACTGGTGCTGGAAAGTAGCAGGAAATCAGATTAAAGAGGTAGAATAAGGCTGAGCTTATAGAGATCATTGATTTCCAAGAAACTGCTTCTATGGGTAAGTGAAGGTATGAAAATACGGTTCATAAATATCAGAAGATGAAGACAATACTGGAATTAAGACCTGTACAGGGGCAGTAAGTAAAAGGAATCATAAAAGAAATGGAAGTGATGGAAGTCATTTAGGTAGTATTGTGGAACTATTAACAGAAACAGGAAAAATAGAAAGAAGAAACAGTTCAGGGGTAAAGAGAATGAATTTATTATGGAGAATCTTCAGTTTAATCATGAGTTTGAGTTTGATATTGAAGCATGAAAATAATTTTTTTTACAAATCAGTGATAGGCACTTCATGTGGCAGAATTGATAATTACAGAATAATTTGTTAGCAGGTAGCACAAAGCATTACACAGAAATGAGATAAAATTTAAAATGAGTCTCAAAATTACAGGGGGAGGAAGCTGTTGAAAGTGATGAATATGTTTATGGCATAGGTTGTGGATAGTTTCATAGATGTTTACTTATCTCTAGACTCATCAAGCTACATACAATATATATGTATTTTTTGTATGTCAATTATACTTCAATAAAGGAACTTTAAAGTTAGAATGTCAGCAAATTTCTCACAGAATTACTGTTGGAGAGTAAAATTCTTAAGGGCAGAATTACGGTAGGTGGAGATGGGACAGACAAGGGGGAGAGTTTGCTTGTGGCAGAATTTTCATTTACCTTCCTCTGTATTTGGAGTTCTTACAATTACAATTTTTTTTTTTTTTACAATTACAACATTTAACCACCAGTGTTTTAGAGAAAAAAAGCATACCATATCACAATCTTTGTACACAACAACAAAAAAACCCCCAGAGATCTAGGAAGTCTCTTCCAGCTCCTTATTGTGGTCTTAAGGTCCTCTATTCCTCTGCCTGTTTTTCCAGCCTCAGCACCATTATAGCTCTAAGTTTTAGCTATTTCATGCTCTTTTAACCCCCTAGATTGTTGTTTTTCTTTTTTTGGTCTCCTTTTAAAAATCTGTTTATTTTTAATTAGAGGATAATTGCTTTACAATATTGTGTTGGTTTCTGCCATACATCACCATGAATTAGCCATAGGTATAAATATCTCGCCTCCCTCCCATGTCCCACCCCATCTCACCTCTCTAGGTTGTCACAGAGCAATGGTTTGAGCTCCCTGAGTCATACGGCACATTCCCACTGGCTATCTACTTTATATATAGTACTGTATACATTTCCATGCTACTCTTTCAATTTGCCCCATTCTCTCCTTCCCCACTGTGTCCACAAGTCTGTTCTCTGTCTCCATTGCTGCCCTGCAAATAGGTTCATCAGTATCATCTTTCTAGATTCCATACATACGCGTTAATATGATACTTGTTTTTCTCTTTCTGATTTACTTCACTCTGTATAATAGGCTCTAGTTCTTCCATCTCATTAGAACTGACTCAACTGTGCTACCTCTAGGTTTTTTATGCTTTCCTGAATTTCTCTTAAATATCAGTACTGTGCAGAGCTCCCTTCTAAACCTGTTGCCACTTCAGACAGATGCTTTGTGAGAGAGGTTTTCCCCAAATCCCCCCTCCCATCCTGCCACAGTATTGTTTACTTCCCTTATTGTAATTTTCTGGTTACTTTTGTTCTTCCTTGCAAATAATCCGAGAATAAAAATCATTCTGTGTCCTGATCACCATTGTATGCCCAGTGCCTAATTAATTAGTATGAGCTTGGGAAACGTATGTTGAAAAAATGGATGAATAAATTTCAAAATGGATTGTATTTTCAGGAAATTGCTAAACTCAGATAAATTTTTCTAGGCCCTCTGATAAAAGGTAATTTAACAATGTTGTGACAGGAAAACCCATTCAGGGCCTGAAAGCACATCACCCACTTTAGCTCTGGTTATGAAAGAGGGAAATGCCTCTAATTCCACACCTTTTAAAATGGTTTCCATAATCTAGAGCACTACAATAGGACAGAGACAAGTGGAACAGGGATGTGATGTAGAGTAGATACTGGGAAGAAGGTGAAGACAGAGTCAGGAAGTGGGATGTGAGGGAGGAAAGGATGAGTTTTCTACTTTAAATCTGAATTGGCTTTCTGTCTTCTCTGTGGAACTCCATCCTTTTTTATTATTTTAACCTCCATTCTTTTTATTGTCATAAATTATGCCTTCCAATTGGGCTTTTTCTCTTTCAGTAGTTAACTATAAAACAAATCTGAACCTGGACTCAGTTTTCTGCTTTTTTAAGTTCATAGACTTAATTTTTTTTTAGAGCAGTCTTGGGTTTTATAGAAAATTGAGCATATGGTAGAGAGAGTTCCCATATGCCCTCTTTGTCCTTTCCTCTGTTATTAGCACCTTGTGTTTGTGTGGTACATTTGTTAAAATGATAAAATGATGTGATATAATAACCAAAGTCTTGAAAGAAGGCTGACATAGAAACTTGGAGAAGATAGCTTCCCATTATCTCTCTTTAAGGAGGTTTGCAAATATTTATGAACCAGATGCCCAACTATTAAGTTAAATCTATACTCACTTTGTCTTTTGCCATCATTTCCAGTCTATTTGCTAAGAATGTTGAAGAACTTTCCTGTGGTACTGATTCATTAAACTAGTTCCACTGACTTGTTTATTTCTATGCTTGTGGCATAGAAAACCATAATTTTTAGAATATCTCTTACTAGAAAATTGTCTGTCACTCACAGTTGTACAGTTGTGTATACCAGGATTTGATTTTTACCTTTAAATATTTGAGGAATACGTGCCATGTATTAGATATCCAATCTGTATAAAAATTTATTGAGTTAAAAAATGGATAGAACTAAAACTTAAAAAGTCATTATGACCTTACTGATCTGGCTCTCTCGCAACCATTATAAGAGAATTATTCATATTTCCTTAAAATTAGGAATACAGTAAAAGAATTTTTTCTTACTGTGAAATATGTTTACAATTAAACTATAATGGTGCTAATGAGTAACTTTTAAAATACAGTGCATTTTATGGGTGGGATCTTTTCCCCTCCTCCCCTTATCAAATTCATGCATTAAAGGCCTACACTCCAGTTCCTCAGAATGTGATCATATTTGAGACAAAGCCTTTAAAGAGGTGATTAAGCTAAAATGAGGCTGATAGGGTGGCCCTCATCCAAATGTCTTCCTAAGACATTAGGATATACGGGGACACACCAGAGGTACAAGCACACAGAGAGACAGGTGAGAATATGGTGAGAGCGTGGCCAACTGCAAGCCAAGGAGAGAGGCTGCAGGAGAAACCAGGCCTGCCAGCACTTTAATCTTGGTCCTCCAGCCTCCAGAAGTGTGAGAAGGTAAACCCGTGTTGTTTAGGCCATACACACACAATATATTTATCTGAATTTGTCTCACTATAGAGAGCTGAATATTTTTCCCACAGTAACAATCCATCTGTATGAATTTAGCATACCAGTTAACAAAGAAAACACAAGTCTATCTAACCTATCATACCATATGTGTTCTTTTAAAAAAAATCCCTCATTCTATATATTAATAAAATTAAATAAATAATTAATAAAATTATTTTTACTTTAGAAATGTTTTTAGGATAGTTTTTTCATATATGGAAAAGAGTAAAAGTCATTGATAAGAATAAATTTTAAAATACTCAAAGGAATAACAGAAGGAATCACATCTCTTTAAGAGGGAAAAAGTAGGAAGGGAATACAACATATACTTTAGCAGCAGTACTCATAACTGGGGTCAAATTCTCTAGGTACTAGGATAAAATGGAAGAAATTTTCAGGCATGGCTTCAAAACAAGATGAAGAGATTATCAAAGAATTTAGAAAGCCAGCTCAAGTCAGAATGCTTCTAGTTTAATCATCTGAGTTCTTCAGGGATGATGTAAAACACTCATTGGCTCTTATCTGGCATGGAACATTGGAGAAATGCTTCAATTCATTAAAAATTTTAAACTTTTGCCTTAAGACTTTCTTAAATGCTTTTCAGAAACGTATTTACCAAGGCATCGTTTAGGTTGGGAATTGCACAGATTACTACCATAGAAATGGTTGACAATTTTTGCCTTGCAGGGAAGTAAACTGCAATAGTTGGGATAGTATATGATTTATAAAGTTCTCAATAGTGCCTAACATCCAGAATACTTAAATCTTTGCTCCAGATGAAAACAAGTTAAATGTTTTACAATACATTTATATAAATTTGAAAAAGTAGCAGTGAAGGAATAAATGAAAACTCTTACCACTTGGCAATACCATGACTGGCTCTGTAAATCTTTGTTCATCTGCTGAAGGTAGGTTTAGGGAGATGATTAACACCATTCCCAGACTAGTTCCAACAAACAAACAAGGGGAGATAGTAGAGTCATTTTTCCGAGCAAAGGATTCCATGAAGTATAGTGCTGTAATCGCTTCTTTAGAATCTTTGTCAATGCTGGAGATGCTAGAGCTTCTAGAACGATTATAGGAATTTTCTCGACTTTCTATGGAAATTTAAAAACCAAAAATTAAGTTTTAGTGTGTTTCCAGAACAAGTGAAGTTAGACTTAGTACATGAAGACCAAAATGATGAGGGAGAAGTAGAATTTGATTCATTGTTAACTGATCTGGAAGGCAGCTTATCCAGTTCACCAGCTTATTTTGAAGATGAAAAGTCCAGAAGTGTAAATCATAAACTTAGGCAGAGCTGGGACTAGCCTTGAATCTGCAGAACTGCAGTCCACTGTTTTGTTTTGTTTTTTTCCTCTACCTTACCTCACAAGTTAGTTGAAATTCTCTAATTTAGAAAAAATATGTTTAGTCTAAATAGTTATGATTACAAGAATTTCTAGTACAGTTTTAGTTATGCTTCTCTCCGTTCTCTCAATTACTGAAAGTATTCCTAATGACTTCTTGACAATTCCCATATACTGACAACATTGTGGCTACTTACCTGAAGGGTCAGGTATGTTCTGAGGTAAATACATTCCTTTAATTTTGCTATATTTGAAGTAATTTCAATTGTAACTTTTAAACTATTTACATAACATTGAACAAATGTTATCTACCTGAACTGGCTACAAGCTGCCTACCTTGAATCTAAATCCAGTTTTGGCTTTGCCAAGGACTAAATACAGAGCTGTACACAATGCCACCCCACTGAGAGTGTGGTAATCTTTCTGGGAGGGCTTCAGCCAATGAAAAGGAAACAGGTGGCTTCAAGTTCCCCTGCTCATCAACTTTTACACATGGTGTACACTCCAACAGCAGAAACTCACCACCTCAGGTAAATGATATAGGAAAGTTGTATTGTTCTTATAATCACACCAGAGTACAAGTTCCTCATATTCTTTCTACTGCCTTCCCTCTCCTTTCCATTTTGATAGGAAATCATGACTCATTTTTATAAAAAGAGAATAATATATAATAAAATAATATACAATAAAGTTAAATATTAAAGTTCCTCAGACTATTCTTTTTTCTACAAACCAAAATATTTCTAATTTTCCCCCTTCTCTATCCTTCATCAAGTTTATAAAATAACTTATTAATAGAATTTAGATCTGAGAGGGAGCACAGATATAAACTATATATTTTACGGATTTGGAGATAGAGATGTAGAGTTAATTTTCCCCGAATCAACACGTTAGAAATGTCTAAAACTCAAAATTCCCAGCTCAATCCAGTGACTGAAACTACTAATTCCTTTACAACCTTTACACTTTCCTTACATGTTACATTCCTAGCTAATGTTTCAAAAATTTTCCATTCATGGTTCATCAACATTCAAGGTTGCTACTCATAGATACCCGTGAAAGAGAAGATCATATGCATGTCCATGGACCAGACTTAATATGGTTGAATGTTAAAAAGCTAAGAATTCCCTTTTTAAAAAATTTTTTTTGACCATGCCACTTCTATATGTGGAATCTTAGTTCCATGACCAGGAATCAGATTCCATGTCCCCTGCAGTGCAAGTGCAGGATCTCAACCATTCGACTGCCGGGGAAGTGCCTTAAAATTTTATTTTAAAAATTTGAATAATACAGATCATTACTATCAAATTTTTTGAGGAGTGGTAAATGGTGAATTGGGCTTCCCAGGTGACGCGGTGGCGAAGAATCCGCTTGCCAATGCAGGAGATGCAAGAGACAGGGTCAGGAAGATCCCCTGGAGGAGGAAATGGCAACCCACTCCAGTATTCTTATGTGGAAAATTCCATGGACAGAGGAGCCTGGAGGGCTACAGTCCATGGGGTTGCGATGTCAGACATGACTCAGTGACTGAGCACACACATAAATGGTGAATTACTTTATAGCACAGAATTACCATAGCATATACCTAAGATAATTTTTTTTTTTCTGTTTCTAGTCCCAAAGCTTTTTATCAGCAAGGCAGCAGCAGAAGTTGTATGCGTGCTCAGTCTTGTCTGACTCTGTGTGACTGCATGACTCTAGCCCACCAGGCTCCTCTGTCCATGGGATTTTCCTGGCAAGAATACTGGAGTGGGTTGCCATATTCACCTCCAGAGGATCTTCCTGGTCCAGGAATCGAACCTATGTCTCCTGCATTGGCAGGTGGATTCTTTACCACCAAGCCACCTGCAGCAGTTATAGGATTCCTCTTTTTTAAAAAAATCTTTCTTAATCTAGGCCTTCTGACTCATGTACTTTACTTCCTGCCCCCAATGCTAATTCCATAAACAAACAATCCTCTTTTTAAAACATAAGACGATTGCAAACTAGAATTTAATGTCTTGCCTTTTTCTTGGTCACATTCTCTTAATAGTTGAGGAAACAAAGGTTACAAGTCAATAAATAACTGTCTACAGATAGAGATACCAAGAGGCTTACCGTTGAGATGGAAAGAAAGTAGGAGTATACAGAACAGATTAATACATAGTCTCACTTTGTACGGAGGAGATGGAAACCTACCCATAAACAGAAGCATTCTGGTTTTAGAGATGAAAGAGGTGTAGTGAGGAATGGATTTGGGATTCATGGCTCCAGCCTGACCAGGTTCTCAGTTGCTCGTTGTCTACAGTTGACCAGCTCTTCATATCTTTTATATGTGACCACAATCCCTCATCCCCAAGCTCCTAATTCCCGTGGTATGTCAAATTTCAGTTGTATCCACAAAAATTTGTATGTTTAACCTACCTTCTGTTGTAACTGGCAAAGAAATCTCCATGCAAGCAGCTGACTGTGCTTTTCGAAATGGTGGTCTTCCAGGACCCCAGCGATTTATTTTTGAAACATCAGCACTGGAAAGTCGTTTTCCAGAACTGCAGCTCTGAGAAGTGGGACTTGTGCAGTGTCCATTTACATGGTCTGTACCAAGAGGCAGAAGGCAACATAAATATCATAATTAAATCTTAACATAAAGGAATAAGTGTGTAGATTAATAAATGAAGGGGGAATTCCTTGTTTTTAAACCATTTAAAGATGGCTAAGTCCTTGTTTTAGTATTTAGTCATAATTTCAATAGCTAGCCAAATTTTTCATAGTTATTAAGTATATTTGTCTTTAAAATCTAACATAGTTAAAATTTATTCTATACTTTCATTATGTATTCTGCCATTTAATGGCAGTACAAAACAGGTTACAGTACTAGACTTTCTTTTGCATAATGTAAGTATACACCTATTTATATGTTTTTGGAAGAACTTCAAATGCTTAGGGTTTAAGATATAGAACAGAAGCATTTTACTGCAAAGTTGAGAATGGTACATAAGAATATTGACTCTACAAGCCAGACTGCCTGGGCTTAAATCCCAGTTCTTCCACCTACTAGTTGTATACATTTTTGCAGACTTCATAGTTTAGTTTCCTCTTGATTGGGACTATTACTCATGGAGCTTTTGTAATAACATGTTATAAGCCAGAAACTTCCTGGTATATGGTAAACTGAACAAAGATGAATTATTACTGTCATTTTTGTTTTGACATTATTACTGTCATTTTGAACTCCAAGTGTTCCACTAAAGTTGCTCAAGTCTAAGACCAAATAGTACTGTTTATTTTTGAGCCTGTGAATTTGTCTCTGTTCTAATTTAAAAATTTGGAATAGTTGCACTAAAGTAGTATTAATGTTAACACATAGTATTTGAAAACATCATCTCATAGCTCAACAATATTCAGAATACATTTTGAAATGTGCTTCTTTGGTTATTCAAAGGACAGAGTTAACCAGAAGAATCATGTTTAATGTTCATATTGGACATGGGAACTGGCACTCAGTATCCACTCCATTACAGCTTTTCTATATTGAGGAATTTGAAAACTTAAAATATACATTCTCTGGATCCCCTTGTAGTTAGCGCAAAGATGAGAATTAGATTTCACCATTTAAATGCACTAGTGTGTTTTACTATTTTTTTTTAAATGAGTTAACATTTATTGAATACTTCAATGCCAGGCATTTTACACACATCACTGATTTAATCTTCACAACAATTATGCAAGATAGGTGCTCTATCCTGATTTTGCAGATGAGGAAAATGAAGGTCAAAAAATGTTCAGAAAATTGTCTAATGTTACATAAGCAGTACTCATGGAGTCAGGATTCTAATCCAGATTTTTCTCACTTAGTGTCTGTATGCTTAAAAACTAGGCCACTGGGTCAGCTAATATATTTGGTAAGGATTAGCAATTTTGATGATGTATTTAGTAGGGTTTAGGAGTAGCTTATGTTATGTCCATTGAGTTCCTAGTTTCTTGGGACCAGTTGTCTTCCATATTAACACAGATTTCTCAACAGAACGGCATAAATATCACATGATAAGTTAGCTATGGGGAAGCAGAAGTCAAGAGTTCTGCCTCTCCTTCACTATTGAATCTAGTCTTATAAATAGGAAAAACACTGAGGGCAACAGCCGGTACCAACAAAGACATAGAGTAAGTTAGAAAATGGCAATTACTTTAGGGATACAAACTGCAAATATAAACCACGCTGCTCTGGGCATATCAGTTAGGATATACCCAGGTGTGAAGGCTTGTTTTAGGGCTTATTCAGAGTAATGTGGGATGGATTACAGCCCTCTTCACACTCACTTACCTAGGTTTAAGAATACATGGCAGAGCTCTGAAAATAGTAAAATTTGCTTACCTAGCCAGGACTCTGGACTTGCTAAGTGAAAGTGCCTGCCTATCTATTACCATCTTTTAGTGGCTGTTTTTGTGAACATTGTTTCATTTGAGCTTATAATAGGGTAGTAACAATAATTAGATTACTCAACATGCTGGTCTGTCTTTTTAAATTTTCCCTACCCCCTGTATGGCCCAATTTTCTCCATCTTATGGTTGACTCATGAGGTCTGGCTGACATTACCATATCTGGGCAGCTCAGAGTCTTTGGCCATATTCTTCTGTCTTCAATAGGGCTGATTAACTTAAAGGATTTCTTTTTGTTGCTTAAATTTTTTTTTAATATATGAAAGTTAATTTGCTTAATATTTTCTTCTTAGTACAGTAAATATTCAAGACAGATATGAATACTATAAAACACTTATGAAGAAATTTGGTTATAGCCCAGACATAGTCATTCTGAAAATTTATATTAAAGAAATGATACTAAATACAAAAACTTCTACTGATAAAATTATTCACTGTAGTTTTAGTAAGAGACAAAAATTGTAAGCCAGCTATCCTTTACAATTCAGCATAAACTTTTAGGTACATTGTGCTATGTATCACATAATAGAGTATTATAATCTTTAAAAATGTTTATTGAAATGCTTATTGAATCTTATTTCTATATCATGTGTTTCAGTTAGCTCTTTTTGCATACAGACCACTCAAAATGTTAAAAAATGTAAACTAAAAGTCATTTTGGGCTTCCCCAAAATGGGCTCAGCGGTAAAAAATCCACCTGCAATGCAGGAGCTGCAGGTTCAATCCCTGGTTGGAAAAGATCCCCTGAGAAGGGCATGGCAAACCACTCCAACCCATCTGCCAATGTAGGAGACATAAGAGATGTGGGTTTCATCCCTGGGTCAGGAAGATCACCTGGAGGAGGGCATGGCAAAACCACTCCAGTATTCTTGCCCAGAGAATCCCATGGACAGGAGCCTGGGAGGCTACAGTCCATATGGTTGCAAAGAGTCAGATATGACTGAAGAGACTTAGCATGCACCACAATCATTTTATTATGCTTACAGATGGTGAGAGCAAGGAGTTAAACTAAGGCAAGGTAGGGATATTATTTCCATGATGTCTGGGGCATTAGTTGGGAATACTCGAATGACTGAGGGCTTGGAATCTTTAGGAGGCTTCTTTACCCACATGCCTGGGTTAGAATGACTCAAAGGTTGAACTCAGTTGGGACTGTCAGTGGTGACTTTGTTAGGAGGCTTGGGCTTCCTCATAGCAGGGTGGCCTTTTTTACATAGTGCATGGTGGGTTAGGGCCTCAAAAAGTTTGACAAGTGGTTTTGAAATGGAAGCAATCTTTCTGCTGCTTTGGTGTTACTGCAATGGAGATTTTGCTTTATTTTTGAAAGCAACATTCTAGTGTCCAGTCACAAGCTTTTTGTATGTCAAGAGGCAGTTGTAGTAGAATCCTGATCTTATAAAAGTGTGGTCAAAATTGATTGGCAGTAGTCTTCTGATTCTAACAGTAGCGAAGTTGTCTGCTTCCTTGATGTATCTGTTGATGGCCTTATTCAGAAAGTCACAGTATTTCATGCCTTGATATTTTTTTTCATTTCACACTTGTCTTGGAGACCATAGTATATAGATATACTTAATTGTTTATATAGAGACAAAGTTTCCATTTTGGGGGCTGTATAACAATTTGACTATTTTCTTATTAATGAATCTTAGGGTTTCAGTCTTTACTATTTCAAAGCAAACTTTAATGACCACAGTAATTCTTCTTTGTATATGTGTGATTATATCTGTGGAATGAATTCTCAGAATTGAAATTGCTTGGCAAAAGAATAAACATTTTAGATTTTGATTGCAAAAGGTTTCCAAAAATAATTAACCAATTTACATCCCCAACAACAGTATATAAGAACTTCAGTTTCCAAACATCTTCACTAATTTTTGCTTCATATAATTCTTTGATATTTATTGCTGTAATAGGAAAAATACTGTTTTAATATTCACTTCTTTAATAATGACTTTCGGTACCTTTTTATTTATATTCAGTTCCGTTCAGTCTGTTCAGTCACTCAGTCATGTCTGACTCTTTGCGACCCTATGGACTGCAGCACTCCAGGCCTTCCTGTCCATCACCAACTCCTGGAGTTTACTCAAACTCACGTCCATTGAGTTGGTGATGCCATCCAACCATCTCATCCTCTGTTGGATGGCATTATTTACTTTAAAGGCACTTATTTCTTCCTCTGTGAGCTACCAGTACTTAACCTTTATAAACTTGTCTAGTGTTTTCTTCCTTTTCTTGTTTTCATGTATGAGAACTTTCCATATTATAGAAACTAGTCTTATTTGCCAAATTATTGCAGACTGTCATTTGTCTTTTTTCTCTATATAATCAAATTTATCAACTTGTTTTGTTTTTACATGGGTACTGACTTTTATGCCATCTGTAGCAAAGCCTTTAAAAATTAATTTTTATTGGAACAGAGTTGCTTTACAGTGTTGATGTTTCTGCTGTACAGCAAGGTAAACAGTTACACATACACACATACTCCCTCTCATTTTAGATTTGTTTTTCCCATTTAGGTCACAACAGAGAATTGAGTAGTCCCTGTATCATACTGTAGGTTCTCATTAAACATATCTCTGTTTTACAAATAGTAGTGTATATATGTCAATCCCAATCTTGCAATTCATCCAATTACCATCCCTAACTCAGCTGGTAAAGAATCCGCCTACAATGCAGGAGACCCCAGTTCGATTCCTGGGTTGGGAAGATCCCCTGAAGGAGGGAACAGCTACCCACTCCAGTATTCTTGTCTGGAGAATCCCATGGACAGAGGAGCCTGGCAGGCTACAGTCCACGGGGTGGCAAAAAGTCAGACTGGACTGAGCAACTTACACTTTCACCATCTTTTACCCTCTTGGTATCCACAAACTTGTTCTTTACATCTGTGTTTCTATTTCTGAGCAAAGCCTTATTCCAAGAATTTTTTTTTAATGTATATTTCTCATGCTTTCTTCTAGCATTTTTAATGGTTCCTTTCTCTATATTTTTATCATCTAGAATTAATTTTGGCTTATGGAGATTATTTTTCAGATGCCTCATTACTCATTCCAACATTTATTGAATGACCTACCCTTACTTACTTTTTGAATGGCCTACCTTATTTTCAAGGCTGCTTTTTTTCCTGCATCTGGTTCAGAAATAATTTATTCAAACTCAAA